ATTCCCCAGCGCTGCTCCCATCCCCCAATTCCCCCCCATCCAAAAAAAAGGGATGAAGTACTGACACAAGCTACCCCATGGATGAAACCGAAAGCCATAGTGCTAAGTGAGAGATGCCAGGCATAATAGATGGTTGAGTTATACCTCAATAAATTTGCTTTTAAAAAAACTCATTTTAGGGCCGACCAAATGGCTAAGAGTACGAGCTCGGAGTGACAGGATTGCCGGTTCGATTCTCACATGGGCCAGTGAGCTGCACCCTAGCTGAGCTGCTGCTGAGCTGCCAACAAGTGGCAGGATAGCTCAGCTGGTGAGAGCTTGTGCTCCTAACAAGGTTGCCCATTTGACTCCCACACGGGATGGTAGGCTACGCCCACCCACAACTAAGATTAAACTCGGCACCTAGAGCTGAGAGGCCGCAAGCTGCCGATGGGCGGCTGGATGGCGATTGGACTTGGGAGCTGAGCTAGCTGCACCCTCCACAACTAAAATTGAAGAACAACTTGGCTGTTCCCCTTCTCCAACTCCCCAACACTGTTCCCCGTTCCCAATTCCCCAATAAAATCTTTAAAAAACAAAACAAACACCCATTTTACAAATAAACCACAGCACAGAAATAAGGGCTGGTCAGTGGATCAAGCAAGGTTATAGGGAGTTTTGTGACCTGGGTGCTGGTTACTCACAGACATGAAAATAGAAATGGGGTAGGAGTGGGGGGCAGCATCACGTCCAGATGAATGGGATACGAGGTACGCGGGAGAGACCTAGGAGACGGTGGACACACATATCTAGGAAATACTTCACTGAGAGTGCTGACAGGCACCAGGGAAGTCCCTTGAATTGTTGATAGTGGCCCATTCCTAAACTATATACAGTGGAGGGGACAGTGGCCATCTGGAGAGATCATGCCCCATCTCAAGGGACAGTGATAGGGAAAGCAGGTACAGTGCCAACAGATGTTTGGATATTTCAAGAGAAGTGGAAACAAGGACTGCCATGTAGTCTGGTCTGTGAGCCCCGTTTCTCCTGGTCACCTGTGCCCACCTTTTGTTGAAACGGTCAGTGTGGTGGGAGAAAAGAATGGCGGACTTAACCTCTCTTAAGGCAATGGGTACGCGTGGAACATGTCGATGCCAGGTGGCTGAAAGGCGAGCCAGCCTGTTTAGGAGTTGCTTGTTTTTCAATGATTACATCAAAGAATAATGCTGAGTGTAAAAAGGTAGTTGCAGAACAGTGCATGTCACAGGATCCCATTTTTCCATGCTATTTTAAGCATATAGTCAGAAAAAGAACTGGAGGAATGGACCCATGACAGCAACAGTGGTTACCTCTGGGCAAATAAGGCAATTTGTTCTGTGTATTTGTTTGAATTGTTTCATGATGACCATGTATGAAAGAGAAGCCAATACAGATGTTAACAAAATTATAGACCTTTTCTAATGTAACCATGTGTGTACATACATGCTGGTAAACATAGCCGGGGCATGGACAACATACATCAAGAGGTTGACAGTGGTTCCCTCTGGGAAAGAGTGTGGGCTGGTGCGGGGTGGCAGGTGAAGGGGAAATTCTGTTTGGCTGTCTTTCTGTAATGTGTCTTGTACAATGTGTAATCCTGGGTTGTAGAAAAATGACAAACTCCAGTGCCCGACACTCTGATCCATCCACCCAGAAGTAGAATAACTCTCCCAAGTGGGAGGGAGGGGAAAACCTTTGTCAAGACATGGACAGTATTATCCCCAGCCCCATCCCCTGCCCCCAAAGGTGACCCCCACACACTGAAAGAGCCAAGGGGCCTCATTGTAACACTCATTTTTATATAAATATCCGGAAGTCATATTACAGAATAAGCCCCACCTGGGAAAAAAGTCAACATTATGTTTTTGTGAAACTGACCCCTGCCTTCAAGGTTGGGCCCCAGCCTGGGGGCACCTGCTGCTTTGGGAAGGCTGGGGCTACTGCAGAGAGGCTGCTGACAGAGCTACCTGTGTGGCCCCCCCCCCAGGCCGACCCCCTTCTTTGGTGTGTGGTACATGGTGACCTCCTCTGGCCCCCCTTAGCCTGGGGCAGGGCTCTGGGAACAGGGTTCTGGAGAGCAGGGCCCAGGAGTCCTGGGGGCACTTGGACATGGATTGGGGGCACTGAGTCGCTAAGTAGATTCTGAAGCTTAGAGGTTGAGCCACTGGGGATGGGGACACACAGGGGTAACAGGAACAAGTGGGGGAACCGGGCTGTCAGACAAGCAGGAAGCACGTGCCCTTCTTCCCAGCCTGGCACCCAGGTCCCTTCCCATTGGTCCACCTCCTGCCAGACCCCACATTCCCAGGGAGAACCCCGGGCCTGCCTGTCCCCTTCCAGCAATGCCCCCTGCCATCTCCCCTCTCCCCACAGAGAGGCCAGAGGCTAGGAACACAGCACCAGTCTGAGGATTTAATTAACCAGGAAGGGGGGTTATTGGGAGGGGCACCCCTGTAAAAATGTACAAAAGGTCTGGAGGGCTATGTGGAAGAGATAAATATGTACATGGAACCCCCCTTCCTTTAGCCCCTCCTCCCCCAGCCCTAAGAGGGCCTGAGGACTTGGGTGGTAGGTGAAGGGGGGGGCACTTTGGCCTCTGGCTTAGTGAGCCCTTGGGGAGGCAGGCCAAGGGCCTAGGGGCCCTCATAAGGGGAGATGGTACACCTCAGGTGGTCATGAGCTACGACCCCTGAAATGACCCTCACTCTCATTTATGTGTATATACACACACACACACACACACACACACACACACACACACACACACACCCCCTCTCTCTGGAGGCTGTGACCTCTACCCTCCCAGTGACCCCAAGGTTCATCTGATGCTTGATCTCACGGAGGTTGGGGCTCTGCTCTCAGGTTCCATGACCTCAGAGGTGGCTGGTGAGGTCATGCCATCTGCCCTCCAGCCCTGGCTGGAAACCTCAGCTCTAGGACCTTGTCAAGAGGAAAGGGGGATGGAGCTTGGCCCCTGCCCCGGCCCTCCCCTCACCTGTCAGCCCGGGCTGGACCAGGGGCCCTGGGTGGGGAGCCAGGCCGGGGGGCGGGCACAAGTGGAGGCGGCGCCCCTAAAAGGGCTCCTGGTGGGGTCTTGCTGAGAAGGTGAGGGGTTCCCGGGGCCGCAGCCGGTGGCGGGGGGGCCAGGCGGCTATACAGCAGGGGATGGGCCGGCTCCAGACCATAGAGGCGGGCAGCGGCCACTGCCCCTGGTCCAGTCAGCTCCTCGCCTGCCTCATAGAAGCGAGGCGGCCTTGCAAGACGAGGGGGCCCTGCCAGCCAGGCTGGCTCCAGGAAGCCCGCACAGCGCTCCGGGGGGCTAGGGCCCAGGAAGGGGGGTGGCCGGGGCCTCTCAAACAGCAAGTGGAGGCCCTGGGGCCCAGCAGCAGCCGCGGCAGCGGCGGCAGCTGCTGCAGCAGCGGCGGCGGCAGCAGCCTCCTCCTTCCGTTCCTCCTTCACCCGCACAGACTCCTTGGCTGGCCGGGCCCCTTCCTCTCCGGCCCGGGCCTTGGGGGTGGCAGGAGACACTCGCAGCTGGGGCCGTGAGAAGGGGAGGTCCCTGGGGGGGGGAGACAGTGAGGGATGTCAGACAGGGTGAGGGGGGGGGCGCAAGCGCAGGGTTGCAGGGTGGTGCAGAGGCACACCTGTCTTTGTCCTCCTTGCTGAGCGAGGCCTCCCTTCGCTCCATAGGTCGCTCCTTGTCTGAGCCTGGAGTCCGGGCGGCCTCAGGAGGCCGGACCCAGGCAGGAAAGGCCAGCGGACTGCGGTGCAGGCGGCCCCACGGGTCTGGGGGGGAAGCGAAGGCTGGTGGGGCCCCTGGGCTTTCTTTCTGGGCAAAGACGGCGCCAGAGTCTGGACAGAGGGCAAAGGAGAGGGTGACAGGAGCCAGGAGTGGGGGTCCCTTCATGTGTCCCCCAACCCTCCGGCCTGAGCATGTAAACCCGCTGCTACCCCCACTCCCCTACCCTGCCTGCCCCAGCACTCACTGAGTGTGGGGCTGCCCAGGCCGCCAAAGGCCCCGCTGGAAAGGGCAGCCAACGAGGCGAAGCTTGTGGGACGCCCAAAGGGATCTGCAGGAGAAAGGGGGGATCAGAGCACTGGGCTGCTCACTCCAGGCAGCCACTGAGGGCTGGCAGGCAGGAGGCAGACCGGCAAACAGGTACCAAAGCCCTGGGCTGCGTAGTCTCCTCGGTCAGGTACAGAGCCGTCCTTGGGCAGAAAGGCCTGTGTCCTCTCACCTCACAGGCCCCATCAGACAACAGGACCATTCCCACTTAAAGGGGATGAACCAGGCCCAGGGAGGTGAAGTGACCTCCCAACAGTCACCTACCTAGTGAGTGGTGCCCCAACCCGGGGCCTCTTGGACTCCAGAGATCTAGCTCTCAGCCCACACACCCACACCAGCCCCAGGCCAGCTCGATAGCAAGTCACCGCTTAAGACCTGTGCTGGCTTCTCCTGCTTGCCATGTAAGGCCCTTCTCGCCTTACCCCTGACTCCATGCACACATCACACAGCCAGTAAGAACAGCCCACAATGGGGGCCTCACAATTTTGTCTTCCAGGAACACCCTCCCTATAGCACCAGGCTCAAATCCTTGTGCACCTGAACCCGGGTTAAATCGCCCAGGAGGCCTGCCTGCGATGGCTGGGAGCCATGCTCACACTCTGCCTGGGTCCCGGCAGCCCCCCTCCACCTTCCTCTCCCAGGCAGCACACCACCCTTACCACAGAGACAAGACCTGAGCTGGCAGGTTAGCAAGCAGTCTTCCCTTCCCTACCCATTTTACAGATGGTAAAATCAAGGCTCAGAGAGGGTAGAGTAACTTGCCCAAGGTCTCCCCACATTCCTGCTGCCTCTCAGGTCTAACTTTCATCCCCAGCTTGAGAAGCTCTGGAAACCAGAGACAAGGCCTGGGTTGGTGCTTACCAATGTGGGTGCTCGGGCTAAGGAAGGGTCCGTGGGCCCCCGGAGGTGCTGTGAACGGGTTGGCTGCAGCGTGTACGGCACCTGGGCAGAGAGGCGGGAGATTCTGATGAGGCCAAATGGGCGCAAGGTGGGCCTCGTGCTACACATACAGGGACCCTCAAGCCCCAAGAGGGCTGGCCAGACTCACCAGTAGCAGTGAAGAGGGAGGCGGCTGGGTGGGAGAGCTCCTGGCCAGTGGGCAGGACCCCGTAGGGCCCCGGAAGGCAGGGCAGGAGGTCGTTCCGAAAGTCAAGCTTGTGGGAGTCGCCCTGCATGGAACGGGGGATGGGGGGGTGGGGGTGGTGAGCGCGGGCAGCCCTGCTCCTGCTCCTCCACCCGTGTCCCTCTTGAAGGGCTGCTAAACCCCGATGGGCCTGAGTGCCTCGGCCTCGCTCAGCCTTCTCTGACCAGCCCTCAGGTAGGCGAGAGAACCAACCCAGTCCTAACTGGGCCTGCCCGGTGGTGACCAGGGCAGGGTGGGGGTGTTTCTGGCCAAGATGCTGCCTGGCCCCACAGAGGCAGACGCCCAAAGTCGGGATGGCCCACTCTCCCAGCTCTCAGGCCCCGGTACCTTCATCTTCTCCTGGTGTCTCAGGATCATGTAAGCCACGCGCACATGCATGGCACACCACTTCCCTGGTTTCTGCCGCCCCGAAGGATGACCAAAGGGAAAGGGAAGGAAAGAATGTTTATTCGTCACCCACTCCAGGCCTAGCCCTGCGCCCCGACTCGCCACACAACATAAGCTGTTATCAACCTTACAACTGCGGGATGACTAGGTCCACTTCACAGCCTAGAAAACTGAGGCTCAGAGAGAGAAACTGCCTTGCCCAAGGTCCCCACGGCCAGCTATGTCTGAACCCAGGCCTGTGACTTGGTCCTTTTGCTTTCTGCGGATCCACACCTGGCTGCCTCCATGTCCTGGGCTTTGTACTCATTCCCAAGCAAGACCCCAGCCCTCAGTGACACACCCTGACACCAGCCCCCAGCCTCATGCAGCCTGAGGCCCTCATCAAACTCACCCTCAAAGGTGGCCGGAAATGGTCGGGGATCTGGGGATGGCAAAGCAGAGGTTGGCGGCAATTCACACATGGTTCCTGACCCGGACACCTCATCTCCACGGCCCCCAAGTCCCCCACCCCCCCAAACACCTCCCCAAAACCTGTGTGGCTCCCTCAAGCCCTTCCTCCTTGTGTCAAGGCTCCTTTCCCCACCTCTCCCACTCTGGGTCTCGCCCCTCCGGCACCAAGTTTCTGAACCAGGTCCCACGGAGATGCTGTACTCGGAAGGGGAGAGGGCTAGTGGGCAGGCAAGATGCGTTTCTCCACCAGAGAAGCTATCCTCTGACCGACTTTATACAATGAAGGTCTGTCTCAGATCTTTAGACAAAAGCCTTTCCTCTCGCTAAAAAAGGCTGGAAATATCTCTTCTGGTAACGTCTCTTCTGGTCTACCCATTAGGAGATGTCTCCTGGGCTTTCCACACTGATCTTGGAGCCCTGGCCTCCAGGCTCACATGCGCTCAGTGGGAGGGAAGCCTTGGCCTCTCTCCGCCCCTTCACAAAGAGGCAATTTATCTTCTCACTGTTTTATGGACACGACTTCCTGGTATGACATCATTTTAAAAAAAATGTTCTGTGACAAAAAATTTGAAACCCCCAGAAAAACCACTGCCCTAGTAACCTGATCTCTGGGACAACTTTGTGAAATTCCTATTCCTCATGCCTGGGAAACCCGTCATCATTTACATCACTTCCCTCGTTCAGATTCTCAGGGGCCCCCGAGCATACATCTGAGGGAAGGATTTATGGCTTGTTCCCAAGTCAGCCCTGCTCTCTCTCCACACAGATCCCCCCAGTGACCCCAGGACCTGCTGTAGCCCCCCTCACCTGCGTCCCCTTTGGGGGAAGCCCGCTCGGCACTGGCCCCAGTCGTGGTGGCAGCTCGGGGTTTGTGCTCTGGCAAAGGGGAGTGGAGGGGACAGTCAGGAGAGTTGGAATGAATGAAGCTGGGGGCTGGGACAGGGAGAAGGCACAGCTGTGGGGCAACCTGGGTCTACAGGGGAGGGCAGGAGGAGGGGCAGGGTTTGGGGAATGGGAAGAACATACGTGGATGGGGTGCCTGGGTTCTCGGGGCTGGGAGCTCACCTTGGGCTGGAAAGCCCCCTGCAGGGAGCCAAAGGAGACAGCCTGCGGGAGGCCCGGAGGCAGGCCGGGCACGGCAGGAGGGAAGGCCGCGTAGGGCTGTGGAAAGAAGGGACTAGTCCACTCTGGGGTGGAGGTGCGGCCTGTCTGTTCTGCCCAGCAGGCCTCTGGCCTCCACCCTGAAGCCCCCCAGGGAGCTCTCCCGGCTCAAAGCTCTTGCTTTTGAAGCTGAAGACTGGACCCCACCAGTCAGGGCCACACGCACCAATACATCTATGCCCACACCACACACACACACGCACACGCAAGCACGCACGCACGCACGCACGCACTCACTCACACACACTCACATTATGCCGGAAAAGGCCTTCCATCTTTCCTGGGTATTTCTCAAACTAGGGAAGAGAAGGGAAGAGTAAGCTTCCAGCCAGGGACCCGGGGCCTCCCCTGGAAGCCAGACCCTCCCTGCATCTCTGAGCTTCACCACTGGCCCGATGAGGAGCTCACCATGTGGGGGCCGTGGGGTGGCAGCAGGCCCGGGGGGTAAGGGGTGAAGTGCTGGTGGGTGTGCTGGTGGGTGTGCTGGTGCTGGTGGTTGTGCTGGTGGAACTGGAAGGCCAGGGGCCGGGCCGAGCCCCCTGCCCCCACCACCTCGGGGCCACCCTGGGCATTCAGGTAGCGAGAGTTCAGGTCCTGGCCGATCAGGTCCTGCTCTGTGGGAGGGGAGAGGTGGGGAGGGAAGAAGGCTGTAATACCTGTCGCCACCATGTCAGCCTCCTTGGGCCCAGGTGACTGGCCTTCCCTCAGTGCCTGGAGCCACTCCCTCCTCAAGCCCTGCTGTCTGCTAACGTCCAAATGCCCCACAGCTGCTGGGCCCAAGCCCAGGGCCATGGCCTCCCACCTCCCAGCCAGGACCCCAAACTCACCAGAAAGGGCGTTAGCAGCTGAGGCCCCAGGGTGCCCTGGCACCTGCAGCAGGGGTGGGGGTGGGGGCAGGGTAGGGCCAGGGGAGAACAAGGAAGGCGGTGGGGGAGGCCGCAGCCCTGGTGGGGGAAAGCTGTGGGTGGACAGAGGCAGGGGCAGTGAGGGCGTCGGGGGCCGGTGGGTGAGCTGCGCGGACGAGGAGGAGGCAGATGAGGAGGAAGAGGACGAAGAGGATGATGAGGGGGGAGGCTGAGCCACGGGAGGGGCCGGGGCCTTGGGGGGCGGCCGTGAAGAGCTGGGGAGAGAAGTGGGGAGATGAGTGAGGGGTTGGGAGGTGTCAGCTCTGACAGGAGTGGGTCAGAAGCCTGGGTGAAACCTTTACCCTGGTTCTCCATGGAAGATGGTAGAACCCGGCCCCAGGACCCCCACCCCCCACCCAAGAAGCCCGTCCTCAGACTGAGGTACCGCCTGACGCCACTGGCCCCTCTCCTTGCTGGGCATCCCTGCCATGCAGCTGCCTCTAATGTCTCTAGCCATGTCACTTTCCTTTTTCTGACTCAATCATACCACAAAACCGATCATTCACTTTGACGCCTCATTACGACAGACCACCTGGGTCCCTACTCTGAGACAGTGGTTGCAGACCCTGCTGGCCTGGCCCAGGAGCTCTAGGCCGTTGTGCCGTTAGCATACTGGGGACCTTGAGCAAGTCACTGCCCCTCTCTGAGCCTGAGTTTTCTCAGTAAGAAGAGTAACGATGATGATGTCATCACTGAGACAGCATCAGTAACAGCACCACCATCCTTACCCTTTAGTGAGCACCAACTTTGGCCAAGTGCTGTCCCTGGCTTTACATGCTAACCGAAGGCTCCAGCATTTCACATCACTTCCCAACTGCTGCCGCATCCATGTAACCTGTCCCATTACTTCTTTCTTTAACATGACTCAGTTTTCTTTTTTTACTCAGTGTCACCCCAGCCAGAACGTTGGAAATCAAGGGGTACTAATCATATTTTCCTAAAGCACGTAAAAGCTGAAAAAAAAGTGCTCACGTAACAACTGAAATTCTCGCACATCACTAAGAATGACATACACACTTTGGGAAACACTACGTTAACGCACCATCAGTCCTCACCACAGCTTTAGGATTGAAGGCACTATTACTCTCTCATTTTACACAGAGGCTCAGAGAGGTTAAGTGACTTCTCAAAAATCACACAGCCAGTCAGTGGCAGAGCAGGAATTTGAATCCGGGTCTGACTGAAAGCAAAGCCAGAGCTCTTCGTCATCATGTCAGCATTTCCCAAAGCGTGTTCCAAAGAACACTACTCCTAGCAGGTGTGCCCTGCCAAAGGTCTCACCAGCAGGTAGTGCTGAGAACAGCACAAACCGGAGTCCCTGCATGTGAACGTACAAAGGGTTCTGACGAGCCTACAGTGCTCTCTCTAAATGTGTTTCGCCCTATGTCTTCCAAACTTGGCCGTCTCAGAATCCTTTTCCAAATCACATCCCAGGGTACCAGCCCGTGGCCCCTCCGGACAAGAAAAAACCCCAACAACTCACCTGCCAGTGCTGAGGTCCAGGCTGCTGCCATAGGGAGAAGTGCGGAGGCCAAAGGGTGAGACCCGAAGCTGCAGCTGGGGCGGGGGCGGCAGACTGGGGGCGGCCGGCAGGGGTACAATGGGGGAGACAGGAGGCCGAGGGGCTGGTGGAGGTGGTGGTTCCTTCGGGGGGAAAGGCACTAGCAGCGGATCGGGCCCTGGGGGCTGCTCCTGGCTCCGCTCCAGGCCCGACACTTTAGGGACTACGGAGAGTTTTGCTTCACAGTTCCCATTGAAGGCGCCGTGGGGGCCTGAGGCTGTGCGGGCGCAAGAGCAGACATATCAGCTGAGGCCTACATTCACCCCAACTCCTTTCCTGTTTCCAGCCCCAACCCTTGGCACTGACCTTTGCTGGTTGAGACAGTAAAGGATGGGTCGAGGTCATCATCGGAGACCTAGAGAAGAAGAGTAGGGACAGGGTCAGGTTCCGGTTGGGCCAGGCCCTTCACCAGGAGGCCACCAGCCTCTGCAGCCTGCTAGGAGCTGGCAGGGGCGGCAGGTCTGCCATTGCCTCAGCTGAAATCTATCAGGCTGGGCTCTACAGTGCCTACGCTTGGGGAAAAGGGGGGAGTGCTGACCCTGGGAATCCGATAGGCCAGGACTAAATCAAGGCAGCAATGACAGCAGAGGAGCAGGGAAGCCAATGGGAAAGTGTCAGCTGTCACTAACTGCCAGCCACCAGGCCGACCAGCTCATTGGTCCGGTGCACAAGTGTTTGCAAAAGATTTTAAATTAACTGCCAATATTTAGAAGTCCAAAGATGCCCCCTAAACACTTAGACTTGAAGGTCCTCTTGAGGATGGGCCCCAAGTCCCGCATGGCAACATGAGCTGGGACTGGATGGCAGCTGCCTCCCTTGAATACACGACAACTCTGGTTCGTTACAGTCCCTGCCCAGCCAAATGAGACACACATCAGGGAGGGCAGGTTTAGTTAGTTACAGGGATAGATCGTCAATGGCTAGAACCCGCTATCTCAAAACAAGCACATAAGCCCTATAAATACACTGAAATACACCTTTCTAGGATGTGTTCTCACACTGACTCCAACAGTTTAGTATTCTCTGCTCAGACACTAATCTGTACAACTGACAGATGCTCAGCAGGAAGGACCAGCTTGGTTCCACAGCCACTCGGCATTCCCCTGAACCATCAGTATCTCCAAGGGCTTTGGAAAAGATTCTATCGTTTGGTTAACTGGTTCTAGTCACCAAAGAGAAGTCACTCACTCTCTCAATCCACCCCCTTCCTCCCTCAAATCTAATCCTGACTCAACCTGACCCATGTTCCCCACTTGGGGGAAAGCTCTCTCTGCTGCACATAGGAAACCCCTAAGCTGCAATCCATTTTGTAAGCTGTAATGCTGCCCACCCAACAAACTCTAGTCCTACTCACCCTCTCATCCAGATCGCTTTCCGCATCACACTGGGGAGAAGGAAAGATAGAAGTGTCACAAAAAGGAAGAGGAGTGGAGCCCAAGATCAAGAGAGGACTTTCAGAGAGGGAGTGCAGGGGAGGGGCCGGAATGGGTGGCGAGCACTTACTATGTATCCAGCTTCCAGGGAGTGATGGGAGGAGGCCTGAGAAAGACCAGAATCCAGAGGTAAGGGAGGCTGACTGGCAAGGCCTTTGGATAACGTCTCTACTCCCTGGCAAGGCACTTAGGCCCTTCATGACCTACTCTCCATCTCCTTCTAGCCACTTCTCCTGCTATGCCCACCCCTGTTCCCAGGGGTCCGGCCACTTTCCAAATACATGAGGCTCTCATGTTTCTGTGTTTTAGCCCAAAACAAGTTTGCTCCGTTTCTCTCTTAGCACACATATGACTGTCCTTCAAAGCCTAAGACATACTAGGGGGCTTTCCCCAACCACAACCCTCCTCCCATCCCCCAGAGAGAATGAGTGGCTTCCTCATGTGGGTTTCTGTAGCATCTCTCCCGGGTCTCTGTCCTCTACAGCTTCATGGGTTTGGGTCTAGGTACTTGATTGTAGATTGGTTTTTTTCCTGCTAGACACCCACCACCTTGAAGGGGAGGGCAGAGACTGTATCTAATTCATTTATGATTCAGCTATGTCCTTTTTGACACACCTCTGAATTATCAACATGTTTGAGGCAGAATTAGTGCTACCCAGAAGCAGGCTGGTCTGACCATGGATGTGTCTTCATCAGACCTGAATGGGAGAGTGGGAGCTCAAATGTGCTTCCCACTGCCTTTGGAGACCCGGGTCCCTGTTTAAAATGGGTAGTGGTGTTGTAGATGGAAAACGGGTCTACGGGAAGGAAGGATGTTCTGTCCAGAGTTTTAAAGGACAGGAATCTGGAACAAACTCACCTCCTTCCTTCTCCGCTTATTGGGCCATTTTCGGGCCCGATCCCCAGAGGGCCGGCCAGGCTCCCGATCAGAGCTGTCCCCTGGCTCCCCAGTGGCCCCACTGGAGCCGCCCCTCTTCCGCTTCCCAGAATGCTTTAGCCGATGTTCCAGTCGCTCTGGGGGCTGAAGAGAGGCATCCTTCTGTGGTGAAGGAGGAGGTGGGACTAAAGTGGATGGAGAAAGGAAACCTCCCGACCTCTCTAAGGATGACCTGGCTATCACAGTGGCCCTCAGGTCAGGTAACTTGGTTGGTCCCTGGAAACTAGCTCTACCTCCTCCCACCCCAGGGTGGGGCAGAGGCCTGGCCAGAGGAGCCGGTTGCTCTGGTTTGGGGTGCCAGCATTCCCCCCTCAACTCCACCCACTCCAGGCACTGTACCCTTCTCTCTGCCCCTCCGAAGCCCCCAAGGTTCCCCAGCCCCATCAGGCCCCACCTGCAAGGCCTCGAGGCTGGCGAAACTGGCTATGGCGAAGCCATCGATCAAGTCCTCCTCCTCTTCCTCCTCCTCCTCAGGCTCCTCCTCGGCCTCCCCGTCGTCTGCGCCCCCCTCCTCCTCCTCCTCCTCCTCCTCTTCCTCCTCCCCGCGGCTGCCCGAGCCAGCAGGCCGCTTCCGAGCTCGGGGTCGCGGGGGCCGAGGCCTGGGACGCGGCCGCCGCCGTCTGGGGCCTCCCGGCCGCTCTCCAGATGAAGCTGACGACCAGGGCCTGGCGGGCGGCGGCGGCGACGACGAAGACGAGGAGCCGCGCGGGGCGGCCAACAGGGCCCGGGGCGCGTCGCCGCCAGGACCTCGGCGGCGCCGCTGTTCCCGGTCTCGGTCTCGGCGCGAGCAGCGCCGCCGCCGCCGCTCTCCTTCAGCGGCCCAGCCCGGGCCCGGAGCCGCGGCTGTCTCCATGGCGACCGCCCTCAGTGCCGCATCCGGAGGCAGCGGGGCCAGAAACGGCCTGTCCGCAGGCCTGGGATGGCAGGCGCGGCGCTGGCGGCTGCACAGGGACGAGAGGGCCACGGCTTCCTCTTTAAAGCAGGATCGGCCGGCCCTGAGCTTGCCCCAAGGCCAAGGCCTGGGGAGCCGGCGCCGCCCCCGGGGCGACAAGCCCGAGGGTCCCCCTCCCCCGTGGGGCCGGCGGGGCCGAGACTGCAAAAACGGGGCGGCCGTCCCTTTAAGGCGAGGCCTCAAATTGTCCAGCCCCTGGCCCCTTTAAGACGACCCAATAGTGTCCGGCTGGCCTACTGCGGTGGCCGCCCCCTGCCAGGGGTCGAGACCAGTCTCCCCGAGGAAGAGGAAGGGCCACCCCTTTAAAAGGGACCGAAAGCTCGCCCCGAAACGCAGACCTCCCCTTTAAAAGTGCCTCAAGTCCTCCGGCTAAAAGAGGCCACCCCTTTAAGGAGTCCAGGGTCCTCAAAACAGCAGGCCGCCCCCCTTTAAGGGCTCGGGAGTTCGTTTCTAGTCCCCCACAAGCGGCCACTTCCCCTTTAAGCTGAAGTTAAAGGACTTCTTGCGTGGGGGCGAATAAGAGGTGAGAATCTTCACTCGCTCCAGTTCTCCCAACAGCACAGTTCACAAATTTGTCAGCTTCTGTTCGGCGGCTTCCCCTTTAAGACTGGCGTTGTAGTCCGCCGAGTTCAGTGGCCACCCCTTTAAGGAGATTTAAAGGGGCCTCTTCCAGGCCCAGCTCTTCCAGCCTCCGCCTCCGGTCGCCATGAAAGGCGCGAGGGGGGGGGGGCGGGGCCGCGGGGGCCAGCCCTCCAAAGCCCCGGATGTGAGGCAACGGTGACGGGTAGAGCTTCTCTGTCTGCCGACATAAAAGTCTCTTCCTCCTTTCCTCGTCTGTGTCTGACTTGCGCCTTAAGGGATCCGGAACGGCCGTTGGGCAGCTAGGGAGCTCCAGCGCACCCTCCTGTTGTCTCCTTTGGCGTCTTGGGCCTCTTCTCAGCCAGGGCTTCCCTGCCCCTCCTCCCTCTTCCTCCTCAGCCTACGCCTCCTTCCTCTCTCGGCCTCCTCCCACTCTCCGCCCCCTTCCCCTCACCCCTCTACAGGCTTCGTCGTTGATAGGTTGAAAAGTGTGCGTCAGGGTGGGGCGGAGTCAAACGCGGGGCGTGGCTAATTTGTAACCGCCCTCAAATCCTGGATTGGGTACACGTCAGACTAGCTCCGTTCTTCATCAAGTCTCGTGACTCGACTGGTTAGAAGTAGGTGCTCGGGGTGGACCCCGCCTCTTCCTGCTCTTCGCTCACTGGTCGGCCTCTTGACTGCGTCAAGGAGAGGCGTCTAGAAGTGGTGCGCGAGCCCTAGGGGGCTCGACTGACCGCTGGGCGGCGCGCGGCCCTGGAAGGGGCCTATGCACAGCCCGTTACGTCGTCTCTCCCTTTCCGCGGTTTGACTTAACCCACTTGACTCCCTGGCTTCTCGCGCACACGCGTGGCAATATCGTCGTCCCGCGGGCCGCTCAATAGGATGGCCCCCCGGCGCGAGGTGTCCCGAGCACGCAGCGTGCCTAGCGAGCGCCCGACGCTTGCGAAGGAAACCGCGTCCTGTCGTCGTTCAGTTGAATAGATAGGAAAGTGTTGGCCTGTGTTCTCTGTGTGCTAATGAGGAAAAAACACCTTGCTCTTGTGCACCGGACACTTTTTCACGTTAATTCGCTGAGTAAAATTCTTTTAGGAAGGTACTGTTATGGCCCCCTTTACAAGGATGGGGGGGGGGGTTTGACGCACAAACATATACAGTAGTTTTCTAACCAGGATTTGGGCTCAGGGAGCCAAGCTCCGCAGTCTGCGCTGTTAGCCACCTACCGCTCCATTTTGCCTCCATGTTAGGAAAGCTGTAGAGAGGGACTTATGGCCTCTGGTTGCCTGGGCTACCTTTTTTATTATTATTATTATTATTATTAGCTGAGCCATCCTGCCACCTGTTGGCAGCTCAGGTCCCGCCAGGAATTGAACTGCGACCCTGTTGCTCAGAGCTCGCACTCTTGAGCGAACTCTTAACCAACTGAGCCACTCAGCCGGCTGGGCTACCCTTTTAATGTACACATCTGTACTGACAGTTTGCTTTCCTATGTATAAAATGGGTAGAATTCCCTCTCACACGGTTATGTGCAGATCAAGTACATGACAGTTTGTTGTGGGTGCTCAATTATAGCCGACTACTCTTAGCTCCTGAATCTAGCCACAGGTCCTGGCCAGCACATTAGGAGGAAGTCAGGGCCATCTTGATCAAGGCCTTGGTCCACTCTGGGATACTCGGTCTCCTCTTTGATGGAAGTGAATTGGGAGAACCCTGACCAGGGTCCCGGATCACAGGATTTTCTGGGGGCAGATTCAAAAGTAATTGCTTTACACAGGAAAATCCTCAAATCAATAAAGTATCTCCAATGACCATTCCCTCACCCCCTCCCTGTATCCAATTCTCACTGCCTTCCCTGGCACCACCCTCCTTTCCCACTCTTTGGGGCCAAAGTAGAAACATTTGCCAATACTGCCAGTCAGTCATCAGTCTCAATCTCAACTGGGAACATACCAAAGAATCAGAAACATATCAAAAACTTTACTAGAAATATAGAGAAAAAAATAAAATGGCCTCGGAGTCTTCCCTTTCCTCTAGGATGGATGGTCCAATGGGGTTGCTCCCTAATCCACTTTCTCCTCTTCCAGGAGCAAGGCATCCAGTTCCTCCAGCCGCTGCTGCAGCAGGGTTCCCACATCTGGGCTGGGGGTGAGGTTGGGAGTAAGGGTCCTGCCAGCTGCAGCCCGGACCCCACGAGATGGCCGCCGGGATCGAGGGAGGCTACTATCCCGAAATTCTACAGACCGCCGCAGCTTCCTTGAGCTGGTGAAAATCAGAGTCCCATTGCGCTCCCGGGGTTCCTCGAAGATGGTCTCAAAGGCCCTGGACCAGGCAGGGAGAAGTGCTGGTTACCAGCATGCCCCCTGGTGCCAGCCTTCCCTCTGTTACCCCCAAGCCTTCCAAGTTTCTCACCTCCTGGTTGTAGGTGACTGGTAATTCTTGTTGGTGTAAATTTCTTCCAAGCTGAACTCTTTCTTATTCAACCTGGGAGCAAAGAGCAGAGGCCACTGAAAAACCCAGGGCCAGTGAGGCCTGGAGAAGGGATAAGCAAGGCTGGTCTGTATTTCAGTTTCGGGGACATGCCAGGGGCCAGGAGTGCTGCCTGAGGCAGACGGTTCTAAGCACAAACCATGTCCAGACCCAACTGACTCCTCCAAGCTGGACTGTGCTCCCTGAGAGGAGATAAAGCCACAGTTCAGGGGATCTGAGCCTCCATCTGTTTGACCAAGGCAGCTCCATGCGCAATAAGCATCTCACCTGATTGGTCGAGGCAGCCCCATTGGTGTAAGGTTTAGCTGAGGGCGGGCTGGTGTCTTGCGTATTCTGAATCGAGAAACCTTTCCCAAGGTCTGCAGAAAGCAGGCAGAGGGTAAGAGGGCAGCAAGGGCACAGGCTCCCACCTGTCTCCTCCCTCTCATCTGTTCACCTACCTTGGTCTCAGGGTCAGAAAGCACCTGGTCCTCTAAGGCCATTGGCTCCTTCCCCTTGGTTGAGCCCAACCTGCAGAGAAGGTCAAGGCTCAGAGACAAACAGCATTCAAAGCAGTATCCCCATCTCCTGCCCACTGAACACTAAGGGAGGAGGCTGGGCCCAGACTGTGGCCGGGGCTTTAAGAAGGGTTTATAGAGAGCACTACCTGGGTTCTGCAGGTTCAGAGAAGGAGGAAGTAGATGCGGTGGACGAGCAAGATGTGACGAGGGGAGGAGAACCTCCCACTCCTCCAAGAGGGAAGACCTCTTTCCGGAGACAGGGCCGAGGGGGTGGCGGGGCTCGGGCCATCTCTCCACCACCCACAGTGTGCCGCCGGGGCCGTGGCCGGCTTGGATGATGTGGAGCAGGGGGCCAGCTGCAGGGATCTGAACCTGGGGGCCCCAGATCAGGGCAGGAGTGGCTTCGGCCCAGAGAGGACTTAGGGAGAGGTGCTGGGGGGTTGTGGTCTCGGGCCCGCCACTGGCGGATAGGGGGTCGGGGACTGACAGATGCAGTGCTCTCAGCAGCCCTGGATTGATCAGCCTCTGAGATGGCAATCTTCAACTCCAACTTCATGGGGGGCGATGGGGGTGGGGGCTGCGGGGCTTTGTTGGGTGTGAGGAAGATGTCAGCAAAGCTCTCGAGCTTGGAGCGGACGGAACGGAAGAGGGGGGCCAAGCCCCAGGGACTGAGGCGGGGGCGTAAAAGGCTGGACGGCGGTGGGGTCGATGGGGGCTCCAGAACAGGATCTGGGGCTGAGGAAAGGAGAGGGTCACAAGTGGGCATTTCCCACTTGAAGTGGTCTAAGCCCCATGTCATCAGCCTCAGCCCCCTCCCTAAACACTACGCTGCTCACAGAGGAATCAGCCCACTCCTAAAATGCTAAGCCCTAAATTTAGGAGTTGAACATCAGGCCTCTGAAGTCTAAACCCCATCTTCACCTGACATCTTCACTCTGCCCTGGGAGGGGATTAGGCCCCACCCCCACCTTTGCACCTGACACTTAGAAGCTCAGCTAGGATTTTCCAGAGCCCCAAGTCTCCTCCCTCTATCTGAGTCCTTACCTGGGGGTGGATTTTCCAGAGGGTCTGCAGGCAGGGCAGATGGCTGGAGCGGGGGTTCCAGGTCCCTGAGCAGAGGCATTGGCTGGTTAACCATTGTCATGGACTCAGCTCTGGGGTGAAGGGATAAGATAAAGGCTGTGGGAGTATCCAGGTCCAGATCTGACCCGAGCCAGCACCTCCCTTGTCCCTTAAGGCTTCTGAAGGCACTCTAAGGAACAACTGGGTAAGTACATTTTCATGCCCCTGCTCTGGCTGCCTAGACAATGGTTGTCTCCTGGACATCTTAATAATTCCTTCCCTAGCCATCTCACCTTCTGGCTGGGACGATGAAGTTGGGAGCCATGTCGTCGGCGAAGCCCTGGATATAAAAAGGGGATGTTTGTGGGGAGGCAGGGAAGCCCCATTTGGCCTACTTAGCTTCCCACATTCTGACTCTTATCTTCAGGTGCCTGCCTGGGCTCACACCAAAGACTTTCTCATATAGGTTTTTGCTCCAGCAGTGCCTTCTGCCTAACATGCTGTCCTCCTTGCTTTGAGCGAAGCCTACCCAAGACTTGACCCTCCTATCCCTGTCTTCTACCCCTGCTGGAGCCCCAGCTTTACCAGAAGTTCCCATACCTCAGCTGGGGGTCTGGGGCTGGCAATGTCTTTTAGCATGACCACCAGAGTGGGCTGGGGGACCCGGTCCACCTCTCGTGAAAGGCCCTCCTCTGGGCCAGGGGTTGTCCTTGATCGATACCTCAAGGTGGAAGGAGACCAACGGATGTGGCTCAAGGGCTCTCGGCATAAGTGCAGGGGGTCGGGAGGCCTAGGGAGGAAACACGAAGATCAGAGGGGCTCCGCTGTGTCCTCAGCTGACCCCCAAATCCTAACCATGCTCACCTGGCCTGGGACAACCACGTGGCCTGTCGGGGCGGCGAGGCAGGCAGTTGGTTGCAGACAGAATCCTGACAGTTGGCGGGGTGCTGTGAGGTGGAGGTCTCCTCTTGGGGCACTAGGGGGGCCTAGGAGATGAGGTGTCAAGAGTAAGGTGATGGAATGAGATTGGACTGGACAGGACCTCCCTGTGCCTAAGTGTCCTATGCCACAAAGGTGACAGGTCGTGGCTAGAATTCACTCAAGACCCCCAAAGAAGAGATGAGTCGAACTAAATTGGGGGCCAGATAGTGTTGTGAGCTGCAGGTGTGGGACCTGGGTACTCTCACCCAGGCTGTTTGGAGAAATGAAAAGAAGAGGGTGATTTTGGGTGAGTCACAGCCCCGTTTTCCTGATCTGTGCATTGGAGCCAATGATCTCAGTCTGCTTCCCAAGGATTGCCTAGAAGTTGGGCTGGGAAGCAAGTGGAAGTGTTTCTCATATTTCAAGAGTAGTAGGGATGTGGTTCCAGCCTCACAGGGTTGGTGGTGGAGAATGGGCACTGGAGACCCCGCCCAATTTGAGGTCGGAGTAAGAGGGAGCCAAGCAGAACTCTAGCATTAGAGAGGCTGTCTGAGCGATAGATGCGAGAACGAGGTGTTTGGATTTCAATTATCCTTGTTAGTGATCTGGTCTAATTGGAACTGAGGAGAGACCTGGGGAGAAGGGGACTTCTCAGTTCAGGGGGCTCACCATATGGGCAGCCATGACATCTTCCAGAACCACGGCCAGGACCCGCCGAGAGGCCTTTTCCATGGGTGAAGGGGCCAGCTGGGGCTGCAGCCTCGCCCGTTTCGGGCTTCTGGCTCCCCATAATGCTCGAGCCAGGGGCTGGCGGCACAGGCGTGGCTGCCCAGGCGGGCTGGAGGATGAGAGAAACAGACGACGGTCGCCTGAGCCTGTTGTTGCCTCTGTGGTTTCCCCTGTACGGCTGCCAGGCTCCCCGTATCCCGGGCTCAAGACAGGCTGGCGGGGTGCGCTCTCACCTGGAGTCCCCGGGCAAGTCCATGGGGGAAGAGGCAGCTCCGGGGAGTCCCTGGGGGATCCCAGACTGCAGCCTGGTGTGGGGTGGGGAGCAGGGGAGTGGGGAGTGAGGGTCAGCCCTTCCCTTGTGGCTCCGCCCTTCATGGTCCGCCCGCAGCTCCCGGTAGCCCACGGGCCGGAGACCTGGGACGCGAAAGGGCGCCCCCGGTCGGCCGTCCGGAGCGGGTGTCTTCCCACAGCCGCCGCCGCGGAGATTAGCAGATCCCTCACACACTGCTGGGCACTTGCCGGGAGAACCTGGATTGCAGCAACCCCAGTTCTCCCGCGGCAGGAGCCTCCTGGGGCCTTTGTCCCTGTAGATTCCGCCCTGAGATCCCCTGGGATCGGCTAGGATCCCCGTCCTGGGAGGTTCACTTTCCACCAGATCCCTCTGCGATCCTCATCCACTCCCAGCGCGTGGCCAAGGGCTCTGAAGCAATACTCCTACACGCCGACGATTTCCCCCTCCCACCAGATCCCCTAGACTGGATCCAAGAGGAAAGAACCCTACAGCGCGGTTCCTCCAATCAGACGCCGCACGAGGAACCTCCTCTTCCTGTGAGCTTTGGCTCCGTAAAGCTCCGCTCAGCCAGGGGAAGACCGGGCTTGAGCATCGCGAACTCAGTCTGGATCCCCGGGGATCCACTGTCAAGCGGATAGCCCTCCACTCCAATCCCGGGAGGTCCCGCCCACAGACCCCCCCTCCCTCCTCCCTCCCCGGATCCCCGCCCAGGGCTCTCCCCAGCCCGGGAACAGATGGTTCAAATGGTTCCTTCCCTCCCTCCTCCCGCCCTCTCTCCAGCCTCTCGGTTCCCTCCCCCGCGCGCCGCTCACCGTCGCCTCCCGCCGATCCCGGGTCTTCGACGGCTCCCACCTGCGGCTCCTTTAAAACCAGCTTTACCCAGCGCTGCCCAACCGCCGAGGGCTTTCTTCTCGGAGCCCCCGGGCAGCGCCCAATCGCCGGCCCTCGTCTTCCTGGGTGGTGAGAAACTAAGTGAAGCCTCCTGGCAGCCATCATTCCTAGGGGCAAGCCGCCCAATTGGGCAGTGCCACCATTACGGTTGAGGGCAGATGGCGCTGTCCTCGAGGCACCGAAGTAGGCCGGGTGGCGTCACCTTCTAAGGCCAGGCCGTGGCCGAAGACGATGCCAAGTTCCTTGAGCTACTGAGACAACTGTAGTGAAGCTAGAGTGTCGCCACGTTTTTTTATGGGCATCTTCCGGTTCTTTAGCTTTTAGGCCAATCAACATGACCTGAGTGCTAACGATATGTGAAATTCCCAATTTCCTAGAGAGGCCCCATCGAGACCCGTTCCGGTACCACCCTGGGTTCCTCAACCCGGTTCCCACGTCGCAGGGGAGAGTTGGGGAGGTGGTATCGAGGGCCGGAGACTAGGGGGGCGGGGCGGTGCCTCTTTCGACTCCGTTGCTTGCACTGTATCCTGGAGAGGCTGAGCTGAGCCAAAGTTGGGGGGAGGCTGCGAGTGCTGAGCTTCCGTTTACCCAAGGATTGTGTACTTCTTCCTGGAGAAATGGGAGTTTCTGCGGCCGGTGCAGAGGGCTCAGTCTAGGGGCGTCCATAACCAACTTGGCGTGCTCGGTGGGGTCCGGCCTCTCTCTTCTCTGTTGCAGGTTCCCACGAGCCCTCTTTCAAGATAGGGCGTGTAAATAGTCCTTAGTAGTAAGGGATCAGGGATGGAATCCCACTGCTTGGCATTTTTATCAGGGGCAGGGCTGTTGGTGGGGAGGAAGTGGGTATGTCCTGGCCCATGCCTCCACTAGTTCCCCTTCCCCAGGATACCCTGGTCCAAACCAGTCCTTATTTTCTTGATGCAAGAGAGCCTGAAGCCTAGAATTTTTGGTCTGAGAAGGTACAGAGTGACAGACTCTGCATAATTGCTTTTTTTATTTTTAAGATTTTATTGGGGAATTGGGGTAGGGGAACAGACAAGTTGCTGTCCTTTTGTTCTTCAGTCTAGTTGTGGAGGACATTGCTTCACTGGCCCATGTTGGTATTATCATTGCGCTCTTCCAGGGTGAGGCAGTTGCTCGCTGGCCATTGGAGGGCCTCTCACTGGCCAGCTCCGCTGCAACCTATACTGTGGTCCCGGGCTACTCAAGGCAGCTCAGCTCCAGGTCGAGCTGTTGTTCACCATCTTAGCTGTAGAGGGCGCAGTGTCACTGGCACTCATGTGGGATTTGAACCAGGGCCCTGCTGCTCAGAGCTGGTGTCCCAAGCCAACTCTTAACCAACACACCACTTGGCTGGCCCCATAATTGCTTCTTATGGGTAGGACTGAGTGATAAAAATAATGACATAGAAACGATGATATGGAAAGAGTCGAATCAGTAAAGAGCAGGTGTGGAAAGCAAAGACTCCCCAACTCTGTAACCAAGGACCCATCTGGATAGCTTTCCCAGGACCACAGCGACTAACACAAGGCCTGCTGGGTCCTCTGGAACCTGTGATGGACTTCTGGTGGAAGCAGGCAGTAGCTCTTTCAAATAGGGTTGTCCTCTCTGCCCCGGATCAGGGCTGGCTGTATTGGACCTGAGGACGTTCCTTGGGGTTTGGTGTTGCTTCCAGCCTTGAATGCCTGGAGATCCTTTTCAACCTCGGTGTGCTGAAAGGACCTATGTAGGCTCACTTACTCACTTAAACACAGAGGTGCTTCCCAGGCCCCAAGGCAAGAAAAGATTTCAAGGACAAAGTGTGCCTGGTCTGAGTTTTAATTCTCTAGGTCTCCTGAAGAAGTCAATACCAAGGGCAAAGGAGGTAGTCTAAAGAAAGGGCCTGGGGGGCCGGCCGAGTGGCGCGTTGGTTAAGAGCTGGCTTGGGATGCCAGAGGGCTCCGGTTCGGATCCCACATATGAGGGCCAGTGACACTGCCCTCCACAGCTAAGATGCTGAACAACAGCTCAACCTGGAGCTGGGCTGCCGTGAGTCGCCGGCGATGGCGTAGGCTGCAGCCCCTGCTTCAATGGGTTGCCATGGGCTACCGTGTGTAGCCAGCAGCCAGTGTGAGCGGCCAGCAGCCAGCGTGAGCGGCCAGCAGCCGCAGTGAGCGGCCGTCCAGAAGCCAGCGACTGATCTGCCTCGCCAGGGAAGAGCGCAATGATGGTGCCAACAAGTTGGGCCAGTGAAGCAACGTCCTCCACAACTAGACTGAAGAACAAAAGGACAGCAACTTGTCTGTTCCGCTTCCCCAATTCCCCAGCGCTGTTCCCATCCTCCAAGTCCCCAATAAAAAATCTTAAAAAAAAAAAAAGTAAGGGCCTGGGCCTAAGAATCTGGTAGGGAGAGCTCAGCCCTATGATCCAAACAGGGGCGCTGGAGTTCATCAAATTAAAGCCCAGGCCAGCATCTGGGAGCCTTCATAGCTTCACAGTCTTACCTCTGTCCTCGGTGACTAGCATTTCAACAACTACCTTACCCACCTGTGGACACACCCTACAGCATGGCCAGTGTGTGCTGACCCAGTGGCCTGGGGCCCCACACGGCCTCCAACTGGTGATTTGCCTGGAGATTGGTGTTGGGGTACCTCAATGTATATCTTTTTTCAGAAACTCTGGGCCCCTTGGGACTGGGGGTCTCTCGCCTGCTTAACTGTTCCCTGGCCTCGGTGGTGTCATTTGTAAAATGAGAACAATAAACCCTGTCATGCCTATCTCAAAATAGACTTGGAAGGTCAAGATCAAGTGAGGAGACACTGCTGAGTGTGCTTGATAAATAAGTCTCAGGCTACAGGTGAAAGGATGGTAATGTCCTCTTCTTCCTGTCCGAGTGTCCTGTGCCTTCTGGTCCCTACGGCAGCTGCTCTGCTCAGTAGCTTTTTCTGCAGGTTGAGGATCTCAGAATCCTGTTTTTTTTCTGAGCTGGTCCTACAGAGTTCCTAGAGGTTTCCTGTTGTTGGCAAGGAGTGGGGGTGAGGTGGGTGGGAAGGCCTTTCACAGGGGAGGAGCAATGCCCCTAACTGAGGCATTCTATCAATCCCCACGGACAAGATGGGCTCTTGGTGAGGGGTCAGTGGTCACAGGATTCGACAGAACTATGAGTCAGCTATGGGGACTTGGGGACTTCTTTAAATCAACTATCCAGGGGAACTCTGACTCACGTCTTTGAATTTTCCCATGGCCCTCATCCTCACCTCTCCAAGAACCGTGAAAAGCGTCATGGACTAAAACTAGTTACAACCCTGAGAGTCTCCCTCTTCTTCAGCAGAAAACAGGAGGAAAGAGACATTGAAGGAAGGAACAAAAAGTCAAGAAACCTGGGGAGATAAGAGATACCAGTGCCAGTGCAGGTGCCTCACCCTGAGACGGAAAACCATGGCCTGGCACCCACAATACCCTCACGCCTTTGAACCTGAAATCTCCATCCAAGTCTGTGTTAATCCCCCACTGTAAAGCCCAGGAATGTTGCCTTGACTGTAGCTGGGCTTTCTGCAAACTCTACCTTGGGTTTGCACCTGAGATGCATGGCCTTACCTCTTCCCAGAGTGGGGCTGATGCTTCTCTAGGAGCCTAGGGGCTGATTCGCCTCTGAAGCAGTATCCAAAAATGTTTCCCTAGTTGTTCATGAAGTGCAGGACTCTGTTTAGCTCTCACAGGACATCACCTGAATGAATGAGTTAGAAGTGGCCTTACATCTTTCTGAAAGGCCTAAGTATTTGTCCTGGCTACAAGTTCTGATTAAGCATCAACAGAACCACCCTCAGTAGGGAAAAAAAATCCAGATACATGTTAAGAAGTAGCCAAAAGAACTTGGGTCTCAGTTCTTATATCCAAATCCAGAGATATCTTCCAGAAGTTAAGCCATTATCCAGATATCTTCCAGAAGTCTATGTTAGTCAGCCTGGGAGAGTAAGGGGGACTCCAGGAATTTAGAAGTGGGAGATATTTGAATAGCCAAGGGATGAGAGCTGAAGAAGAGGGGGTGAAGACTATACCCCCAACCTTCAAGACTTCTCCAAGAATAAAATTATATGCTGATGGCATTTTCGCACTGTTTCAAGATAGGTGAACATGCAGGAAGCATTTGTTGGAGGAGGGTCATCAAGAGGACATGACTGTTGATTGATCTGCGAGCCAAACCCAGGCAATTGGAGGCTCCTCACCCCCACCCCTGTACTTGGAATGTACGTTCTGCCCGCCAGTCCCACAGTGGGAGCTGTTTTCAAGGACATGGCATTGAGAGAGTAATGTGTTGCTGAGACCATCTGGACAGTACTTGTGCCTCTATATAAAATTTTAAGATTCTGGCAGGTGGAGACGGAGATCCACTTGTCTTGGAGTCACCCAAGACAAGCTTTGTAAATAAGTTCCCTGGCTTATTAAACCTGCCATCTTTCAATCTGGAGTGGTCTGCCTCTTCCTTCGGTCTCTCCTTGCCCTCACTTTCAGATTTCACCTGGGAAATTTCCCAGTTTGCAAACCAACAGCATCCCTCTTATTAGCCAACTTCCATCTCCTTCAGATAATAACTCCCTTGAATTAACTGCTTATTATAAGCCCTATGCTTTACAGTTAACTCCTTTAAACTTCAATGACATGTCTGTAAGGTAGAGAGTATGACCTCAATTTTACAAAGGAAGAAACCTACACCATCAAGGTGAAGTAATGAGCTTACATTATACAGCTGCCAAGAGTTACATCATATAGCAGGGCTCAAGAGTTTCCCAACTCCAAGGCCTACACTCTTTCCATTGAATTATAAGCCCATCAGAGGTCCTGTGCCTCATACCTGTAGAGTGAGTTAATTACGGAATAAGAGTCCATTGTGAACCTCTGGAAGTAGAAAGGCCATCTCTTGCTTGGGGGTGGGGGTGGTAGTGGAGGGTGGGGCAAAGGGGCAAAGGGGAGGCAAAGAAAAATTTTTTAATTCGATATTTTTGAGCAATTGCTGTGTCGAGGAGAAGTCGTATAGCATAATGGTTAGGATACACGGGCTTCAAAGTGGGATACATTGAATTTTATTACTGGCTCAGTTGAGCTGTGTTACAGTGAAGTTTCACTACTGGACTGAGCTTGAGCGCCCCCACTCGGAAAGTGAGATGAACAGCCTCAAGGGCGTTGTTTGGAGGCTTAAATTCAGTTAACGACATAATGACAATGTATTTAGAGTGTTTTGCACAATTCCTGGCATATTGTGTGGGTTGCTATTTTTCTTATCACTACAGTTATTAGATGTTTAGGAGCAACAAAGAATAAAGATTCTGACTTTGCCCACTGAGCCCTGAGAGCGGTGGAGAAAACGGAATAGAACCCTTCTGTAAATCAGTGAAGTTTCGCTGGTGGCCAGGTACGTCTGTCCCACGAGCGTGTGTGAGCATAATGTAGAAATTCTATAAATGTCTCAGCTTCCCAGAATTGTCTTCTCTTAGGACAGGAACCCAGTTCCTTTTGCGGCCAGGACGTGCTCTCCGAGGACTCGTGGGTCAGCGGACAGAAGGAGCCGAGGTAGAATAGCGCAGAGGACGCTGACCAAGGATTACATAGTAAATCCTTCGAAACGCCTAATCCTGCGTGAAAGAACCTGGCCTCCTGTCAAGAGTTACCTAGCAACAGCGTCCTAGAGTTGTTGGGAGCAGCCCAATTACTGGGTGCTGTTAGAAGTCCTCAAGCCAATCACCGCAAGCGCCTAAGCAGGGGCTAGGAATTCAGAGTGAGAGCTGGTATTTGGATCCGACTCTTATTTGAGAAGATCAACTGGAGTGAACGAACATCAAGTTTCCGATTGCATCTCCACGTTGGTCTTGGGCAGGTTGCCTCCATATTCTCTTGGGGCATTTTCTGGTACCGTTATCCGGGATTCCTCTGTTCTGGCCTCAGCTTGGCCCCACGCGGAGTTAGATTCCGGCTGGCTCGGACGCCGGGTCCAGCGGGGCGGTGTCAGCGCGGAAAAGACAGTGGCTCTGGGGTTGTAACATCCAGGACCTGG